GACCAGCTCCTCTACCGGGGCGAGTCTCCCACGATTTTCAAGCTCGAGCTCGAGCTCTGAAAGCTGCATGACGTCGCCCTTTATTTTTCGGACACTAGTCACATAGCACTGGCGTGCCATGGTTTGGCTTCCTCGAACGACTCCAACTCCACTATATGTGGGGAACTTCATCGCCAGGTGAAAAGTTGAGATAACAGCTCTGATTTTATTTAGCAATGGTCTTCCCCGAATGGCGTTGTAGGCCATCGGAGTTCGGACAACTTCGAAAGTTATGATATGGGTTACCTGCCAACCTTCAGATCCCAAAGTCATGGGTAATCCAACAATACCTTCAGGGGTGATGGCCCCGCCACCAAATCCTTGGAGGGGTGTTTTAACAGGCTTGAGTTGTTCCACTGAGATACCCATCTGAACTAAAGCTTCATGAGACAGTACATTAGCTGCACTTCCATTATCCACAAGAATTCTCTTGACCTCGAAGTTAGCTATGATAGCTTATATGACTAAGGCGTCATCATGGGGAAAGGATATTTCTTCTAAATCCTTGGACCCGAAGGTGATATCTTTCGTATGAGCAAGATCTATGTTGGAAGAGATTGAAAGCTGTTTGGCATACTTCTTACGTCCACTGTTGGTGTCTCCTCCTGAAGCTGTTCCTCCGATAATAACGTTAATAGTGCCTGTCGTTGGTGGTTCACTACCATGGCCTTTATGTATGTTCTGCTTGTTCCTCGGGCGTTTTTCATGGCTAGTGTAAGAGCCCAAAAAAACCCCTCCTGATGAGGGCCTCAATTTGTTGCTTTAGAGCCAAACAACCCTCAGTGGTATGTCCGTGGTCCCGGTGGAAGTCATGGTACTTGGTTCTGTCTCCGTTTTCAGGTAATGATCGCATTCTGAGAGGCCACTTAAGCTCTTTGAGGTCCTTGATCTCCATCAGGATGTTGGACCTTGATGTATTCAAGGGAGTAAAAGTTTTCGGTCGGGGGTTTTGTCTTTGCTTGACCCAAGGATTGTCGTCTCGTTGATTGGGTTCACGCGGTCTCTTATTGTCTTGCCTTAGTAAAGGTGAAACATCCTTTCTTGGGGTTAGAGTTTCTTCCATATTGATGTATTTCTCAGCTCGAGTTAGGAGGTCAGTTACTGACTTTGGGGGGGGTTTTTGACAAAGACATCTTGAATGCTTCGCATCTTATAGCGTATGTCAAAGCTGAGACCGCAGCTATAATATGTAGATCGGGAATCTGAAGTCTTTCTTTATTGAATCTGGTCATGAAATTGCGTAATGTTTCATTAGGTCCCTGGCGCATCTGCATAAGTGATGCCGCTATTTTCCTAATTCGCTTGCTGCTTGCGAAGAAAGTGAAGAATTTATCGGCCAAGTCTGCGAATGAGGCGATAAAGTTTGGCTCTAATGTGGAGAACCAATCTCTAGCTGCGCTTGTAAGAGTTTGAGGGAAGGCTTTGCACATTACAGCGTCAAGTGTGACCTGTAGGTTCATGATATCGGTATATATATTGAGGTGGTTGATTGGGTCAGTGGTCCCATCATATTCCTTTATCCTGGGATACTTGAACCTATCCGGAAGGAGGTAGGACAGTACTTCAGGAGTAAAGAGAGTGCTAGAGGTAAAGCCTATTGTCCCCTTTGATTTCTGTGCTAGGCCCGCGATAATACCTTCTTAGATGATTCTGGCAAGCTCCCCTGACTCTATCGTTACTGCCCTTGATGCTGCGGTCATAGGAGGTGCACCCGAGGTTCCAACACCATTATCAGGGAGGTTTCGTGGAGCTCGAGCTTGAGCAGCTGCCATAAGATTGCCATCCAGTGTTGGTGTATACGATGGGTGTGAGTTTCTTTGGCTTAATAACTGAGTCAATGTGGTAACTTGTTGGCAGAGCTCTTCAAAAGCTCCAATGGTAATGACAGCCGATGGCGGTGCTACCATCTCTGATGATTCCTCTTGAGGGATAGGATGATCTCCAGGGGGAGGATTTGGAGCGGATAAGCTTGCTGGTGGAAGACCTGATCGTGTATTCACCATGGCTTTTGGTAGCGCTTCCCACAGACGGCGCCAATGATGCTATCAAAAAATATCACCCGAAAGATCTCGAGCTTGATGGTCCAACTTCACTTTGATGAACACAATCGGTCTGTGAATACCTGCAACAAAGGCAACGAGGTGTGTGCTCGTTGCCCCTCCGATGCTTAAGTCAGATAGGAAATTTAGTGCGTGAGGCTATAAACTGAAGATAATGAAAACATACCTTGATGTTGAGCCTTGGCCAAGTATTTATAGGTGTTGGTGGGGGTGCTGTAGAAGGATTCTATTATTGAAAGAGTCATTTTCCCCTTAGGATTAGGTGTTGGAGTTTGATTAGAAGTATACTGTTAGAGTTCTAATTAGGGAAGGAGTAGACTTAGGTGGGGTCTATTTTTTTTGGAGATTAAGTCGGTGGGCAGGGTCGGATTAGAGATAACCCCGACCTTAAGGAAACCCCGACCTCAAACCGGCGTAACACACTAAGATCAACTCGGGGGTATTAGGTCGAGTTCGAGCATGGTGGGCAAATTCAGGTCTAGTTCAGGGTTACCAATCTGGAATCATCATATGTAAATTCAAATTTTTTCTTACTTTTTGACCACACATTCTTTAAAAAATCACCTTATAAAATTCTGTTTTACCCAAATAATGGTTTTCAAGCAGGGGTTTAGTTTCTATTTGATTTAATTAAAAACTAAATTAATACAAATCTAAATTAGAGTCAATAATAAGTTTTAATAACAATCACAAATTTTATGAACTTTTTAACCTCATATTTCACTAATTTTATCAAAATCTATTAAAAATATAATTTTTATCTAAATCAAACATGGGTTTAATAGTAGAAGGTTCCAAAGCCCAAAAAATTAAGGAATGTTGTTATAAAACCATAGAGAAACACGATTATGAGAAGAGTGTAAAGGAGAGAGAAGTAAAAAGAATCAAAACTCAAATATATATTTTGGTTAATGCTTGTCTGTCAGGCTTCGAGCCTCATAGGCTAGTGCCCACCCTCCCTTGTTTTGTGTGAGGCCTGAAATGGACTGTAAGGGACGAGCCTAGTAGAGCAGTTTGGATCATATAATTTATTATAACAACGAACCATGTATATAAGATTTTATTTTGAGCTACCATTTGAACTTAATACATTCTTCTAAAGAAAGTAAAACTTATCTGGTATCCTAATAAGACTTATTGTCGTCGCTATATTTTATAATTTTACAACACTCACCTTTGATAATTATTTGCACAATAATTATTTCGTTAAAAACCCATTTTGATAAAAAAAAAAAAAAAGTGAGATAAAAACACCAAACGAATAAAAAAGAGTACACATAATTGTAAAAATATTGGAGTAATAAAATGTTAACTCATTAAAACCTTGCTAAGAAAATTTAAAGGACAAAATTTAAGGAAAGAAAAAAAGAATATAATTATTACTCCCAATTTCAATAAACGAAATTTTTTGGATCGAGCAATAGACCTCCTGTACGCCAATGTCTTCGGTATTACAATTCTATGAAATATGTTGCATGTTGTTTTGTTATATCCTTCAAACAATATCATATTCATATAATATCTTCTTGTTTTTCTCATCAAGAGTTTCTTACACAATTTGTCACATATAAGAATATTATTTTGAAGGTAAATATCTTATAGATTATGAACATTCATTACATAAAGAATATGCATCGTTAACACTTTATAGTAAAAAATGATATTGAAAAAATAGTATATTATTCTTTTGAGTATGCTATAAAATTGACTTATTAAAAATCTCAATAAAAAAAAATCAATGGGACAAAACATATTTATCGATCGGTGGAAAAACAATATAGAGCATATTTATTCCCTCCATGATACTTGAATTATTTGCTTCTAGTATACAATTCTTTAGGAAGTTTTAACAGTCATGCCCAAGCAATTAACTATAATCATATTTATTTTACGCATATCAAATTGTATAATATTGTCATGATAATAACATATAAACTTTTGATTGTATTGCAAATTGACACACAAGTGTCATTAAATGCTAAAAGATCTGAACTACCATGTTTTTTGAATTTGGCAATTTTTGCAAAGAGAATCATGTAATTTATATATGCATGTCAATCCATAAAAACACGAGCTACTATGCAATAGATCTATTAGCGAGATTAAATTATGTGATAATTTTCAAGAAGTGTGCTTATTAGAATTCTTCGTGAATATTCTACAACAGCTACTTCAGGAATAGCTAAACATAATTCTTCAAATTTGTGCAACTTCGAGAAGGCAATATTATATCAATATTGAATATTAATATATTAAAGTTGTGCTTCTTTAAGAGCAATAATATAATATTTTAAAATATAACATCTTACAAAATTACACTCTTTCAAAAACAAGTAATATTACAATATTACTATAATATAAAGTTTCAATATGTTTAAATTTGGAGTTCTTCAAGAATAGTAAAATATTTGTAAAAATTATTAATATGTATAAAATTATGCTTAGTTGTGAGCCACAACATCATTAAATATTAGTGCTCCATTTTCCAAAAATTCACGATTTCCTATCTAATTCAAAATACATTACTGTTAATACATATATTACACACGAGTGAATCATATTATTTGAAGAGCAATGTTATGAACTCACCGTTCAAGTTTTACGAAGATTGGATAACAAGGCCATAAAATATCAACGTTTGATTAGAGTTGTGTAGATTGTATAGATTTTATGAATTTTTTGTTCTCTCTCTATTGGGTGAGCTCCTTCGTGTTGATAATGTGTGATAAAATTACACACACATATATACACACATACAAAGGTTGCTCACGAAATTATTTCTTTCGATTTAAAACTACTGCAAGTGTAGGTTCGTTAACAAGTAATAAATTGGATTAAATGAGTACGAATATCGTCCCACAGAGATTAATTAGTTCAATTTTACCTATCGTCGCCTTAATCGAAACTAAATTACTAAAGTGGATGTGAACCTAAGTAAAAGCCTAATTTTGGAAAGTAAACCATAATTATGCAATTTTTATGATTGACTTAAATTAAATATGCAAAACAATATTTTTTAACACTCTAAAATGAAATCAAATGTTGAGAATACACGTTTGTTATAATCAATAGAAATTAAACACACTAGGATCACAATTCTCATGCAATTATCACTTTAAAACCCTAATTTCACAATATGACAACACACTTCAATTGTAACGAATCAATGTTCCTAAATCTATCCAATACTCTCTCTCGAGATATATTGAACTTATTTCTACATACCACCAGCCCATATTTCTATGACAAGTGCATATGTAAAATTGCATGCGATTTTATGAATACTTAAAGATTCACGTAAGGCATAGCGGTATATTTTTATCCCCTATCGAACCCTACGATAATTTATATTATGTCGAACTTATTCCAATTCTCTCAAATGCAAGAATACATCACCCAAACTCACACAATTACGAGCCCTTAATTGCGGAAACAATAATTGTATATAAATCATTCAAATCAATAGAAATATATTTTAATGTCAAATTGCAAAACTAGATAATTAAAGATTAAATTACATGGTACATTGATCTCCTAGCATATGAAAATCTAGCCTAACATGGTTAAAATAAAAAAAATACATCAGATTTTGGATAAAAAACATCATCGGGTTATGAAATCTTGAGAAATCTTGAAGCTCTTCGTGTAAATCTTTGTTCTTCCGCTCAAAATCCTCTCAAAGAAGTGTTTTTCTGCCTCCAATATGTTCTCCCTCTTTTTGGACGTCTTTTGATATTTATATCGCGTGAAAATTAGGTTACCAAAAGAGTTTGAGTCGTATAAGGAAATTGCAGAATCGGCCCCGAATCTTGTTCTATGCGACCGCATAGTACATTTCTATGTTGTTGCATAGAGTAAACAAAATTTGAGAAAAAAATTCTCGGGAGGCCTCTATGCAACCGCATAGAATTTATACTATGCGACCGCATAGTTATGTCATTTTTTCTGCCGGACAGTTTTTAGTATTTTGATTATAACTTTTACTGCTGATCTTCGATTGAAG